AAATAAAAATCATAAGCCGTCCAATCGTCAATAATATTATGAAAGTCATGCAACTACCCCAAATGCACTAAGTAGCGCATCATTTTGAATTTACAGATCAGTTTTTTGATACTACACTGATAGACGCTTCTGCGTTACCACAAAGAATAGCATTAGCAGTATTCGACAAACAAAACGGCTTCCAATAGGAACGCCGAGAGCGCGATACTGATATAATCGTTCTTGTCAATAATAATCAAGGATGATGATGATAGGCGATAGGCGCTTTGAGACGGCGACGAACAAACATAATGGAAAAAGGTACACCATCATGGTGCTAGAGCAGACGCTTTGGCGAGCGCAGTAGAGATTGGTCAATAACGACCCGTTAATTAGGCTTCATTCTTTTCACAGCTTTTCAATAATCGGTATTAGTCATTGTTGTATTTGTTCACGTCACATTCTTCGTCTTCTTCCTCCTCGCTTTCTAGAACAGGGGACGGCATATAAAATGGATAACCTAAAAAGCAGGACAACTTCCAAAACCAATAGCGCTGTTCACAGGTAGCAGAAGGACTTACTGCAAGTGGAACCTCCTGTCTCGCCCCCCTCCCCACGTCCAACTCTTCCATTAGCGTGGTGAACGTTGGTTAGGTAGTCAGGGCTAGTATTGCCACTGTGGTAGTTCAGGCTCGAGGAAGAAGACGATCCACCAACATTAGCCGAGGTCACACCGGGGACAGCCATGGTGACAGCGACGGCGGTGTCAGTGCCCATCATCATCTCGACCGAAGGAGTCAGCGAAGGCGGAGGAGCCGGAGGCACGTCTCCAGACTGGATGAACTCTTGCTCAGCAGCGATGCGTTCCTCGGCAAGCAGACGCTTATACAGGTCCATAGTAGCGCTTGCGGACGCAGTTTTAGTGGAAGCCAAGACAGCCTCGAAAGAGGCGACGGAAGCAGCAGCCATTCCGGCATTCATAGCTTGAACGATGAGGTTGTACTCCGGTCGAGGGCCCAGGCCAAGAATAGACGGACCGAGCTCCCTCTCAAGATCAACAGCTCTCCTACGGGCCTCTTTCACCAGATTGTTCTGAATGGTAGAACGTAGCTGTCTCCTTAGCTCCTCTTGGAAGGCGATGTCCGGTGGCAGGCAGCCCGGATCGGCTCCTCTAGCACTCCCCCCGGTGCTGTTACTCTTACTGATGAGGGACAGAAGGCCGTGTATTGGTCGAAGTCAGTGGGAAGCGTAGAGGGCTGGCAAACCCCTAGTGACGTCACATCAGAGCACTAAAAACAGTCCAATGAATGAGTCACATGACTGTCCGAGCCACCTTGAGAATGTGAGGTGCGCGGATCGACCG